TTCACAATTGGATGTCGAAACGGTTTCCGATTTGTCTAATTTTTTATAAGGATGATCTATGAATGAAGACCTAAAAAATAGATGGTTTAGATCATTAGGAAAAAAATTGTAGGGTACTCTAATGGGTGTCCCTCAAATAAAATTATTTGAGGGAAATCTCTGTATATAAGTTTATTTGAGGTACAAATCTTGTAGGCCCCACTCCGGATTGTATTTCACTAATCCAAACCGTCTATTTTGTAGAAACTCATTCAAAGATCATTTTTACAAAAAATTACTTGAATCTGATATCATTTGACCATTCATTTGAGTTATTGAAATTTTAGTACTTTCATGAAGCACCGTGTTCATTGATTTTGTAAGATACAATTGAATGTCGAAACGGTTTCCGATTTATCTAATTTTTTTGTAAGGATGATCTATGAATGAAGACCTAAAAAATAGATGGTTTGGATCATTGGGAAAAAAATTGTAGGGTACCCTATAGAGCGTCTCTCAAATAAAATTATTTGAGAGATCCCTCAATAGAAGAGGACTGTATATATATATATATATACCTCCCTACCGTCGAGGGAGAATGATAGAAATTGGACACAGGCAATAGATGTTAATGTATGGTTTTTACTATTTTCTTTTGGCTTCCCTTGACAACTTTGTAATAGGATGTGTGTTGTTATTTATCAAGCTCAAGTTTAGATTAAGGAAAACCTTTCTTGGTGCTCTTCTCTAAATTCTGCTGTATGGAGGTTCAAGCAATTTGACAAAGGTATTGTGCATTGCATATCATTTCATAAAACAGTCTTCATAAAAATGATGACTAGTCATCCGTTTCTCAGATGACTAGTCATCCTTGCTCTGTAGGATTTCCAGCTGGACAACAAACTGTTTTGTCCTATTCCTCTTTCTCTCTCTCTGCTGCCATCTGTGTTTTCTAACCTAAGGAATTTTTTGGCTGTAAAGGCTACGTTTTTGGTCATTTGGTGGTTGTCTTTTTTGGGTGGAAGTTTTGGAAAGTTTGGCTTGCCATCTTTCGCTTATTCTTCCTCGAGAGAACCATCTTATTTCATCTATGAGTTTTTCCAATTGATTTCTTTTTGAAAAACTGCATTTGAAACACAAATAGAAAAAAGTAGAATTGTCAAGAAAAAGAGTGGGAGACTGAATTTGTGAATGCAGTGGAAATTAGGGAATCGTTTTACAATTCTAGCAAAAGCTTTGGTGTCAAGGTAGGGGTTTCTTGGTGACTTTTTACAAAGATTGATCTAATTAAATTTCGTGAGCAATATATTACGTGTGATATTATTATTTGATTATTACTGATATTGGGTGTTTAAGTGTTGTTAATTATCATTATATCATTTTATTAGTACTGACATGATCATATGTTATCAGTGATGGCTGGAATTCTTGGATTGATAAAGAAAGTATGGAAAAGAGGGTAATAGGAAGGATCTTTTGTGTAGTTGAGTCTGACCATTGTAGGGATCAAGTCCAAGCGAGCCTGTGTGCACAGTAGACTAGGAAATCGGCGGTATAGTTGTTGTCCAAGGTGCAGCTAGATACTACAGATTCCCATAACTACAAATACAAATACACAGTTTTTCAATACATGAAAGGTAGGTTCGTCAACTTCTCTGGTAAACCCTCCAATCCATAGAGAGGAGAACATAACAGTGGAAGGAACATGACAATTTGTAGCATATTTCGAGCCAGCAAAACAGAGTTGCAAGATTCTAGCCCATGACAAAAGGTAGGTTCCTCCCCTTAAATGTTTTCCAATTTGTCTTTGAAAGTTAGTACATTTCCCCTTGCCCATAAATAAAATAAAATAAAGTTAAGCACATTTCCCTACACCTAGGCATATTCAATCCACATCAAAACTTCGTCTCTCTCATCCATGCCCTTCTCACTCTATCAGCTTGCCTCAAAACCCCAAAAGCAAAACAGAAACAAAAACAAAAATACCACTTTCAATTTTAGAAAAAGAAAAAAAGAACATAACATTTCTTCTTGCAAAAAGTACTTGATTCCAGACCGCAACAGTTGAAAAGTACTAGATTTGGGCCACACAGTGTGGCATGATGCACACAGGAGTTTCTACTTGAATCCCAATGCTGCCTACGGGTCAAATGCAACACCAAACAACTTAGGAAAAAATATACAGAATAAATTCCAATTTTCAACATACCATAGTACAAAGCTTGCAACTATCATATATAAATTGCAACAGAAGGTTATATCAATTACAGACAAAAAATGGGTTGACATGCCAACCAACAAAAGTTATACACGCATCCCAGCATTAGAGAACAAGGTATGTCAGAACAATAATGGTACTGAAACTGATGCTTAAGACGTAAATATTTGTCAACGGTTATCATAGCATTCAAAGAAACAATGAACTCCACTCCACTTCAATTTTTGTCCATGGAGATGATGAATATGCTAAAAAATGTAGGTTCAAAATCTGAAAAGTCCTGCATGTTTGCATCAACTACACGGGCATTCCTGCATTTCCTTCTTCTTTGTTCTGTTTCAATTAAGTTGTTACGATGCAAATAAACCCACTCTCTATATATCAATCTCTCTCTCTGTACCCATCCCCTCAGGCCCTGAAAAGAAAGAGCAAAAATGCTCAGCCTTATCAACTCCATATAACAGAAATACTGAAATTAACAATGCACAAGAATATTTACTCAGACTAGACACATTACCTCTAAACAAGTCGTGATAAAGAATCCACAAATACCGAGAAGCATTGCCTTCCAACGAAAGGGTACCTGCTCGATGACAAACGGCATGCTTAAGAAAATATTTATGTGCATAAATAAATCCAATCATGGAGTGATAAATACCTATAATTGTAATTCTAATTGAACCTACAAGAACAGAAATCATGCTAGAGCTGAATTGTAATTTCACTCTCCCACTAAGAAAGAAAGCCTTTTATGTTATAAACCCAACCAACTATTGAGTTAAATTTCATTTTCTTTTCTTTCTTGTCGTATTTTCTAGCTGTAGGGCATGGCCTTCCTACCAAGAAATGTAGTCCGTGAACCCATCTAACAGAGTATTTTGAACATATCCTTAATAGAATTGGAATAGAATCCAGTGGTGAGACTCAAGCAGACAACCAATGCTGATTAAAACCTAAAACAAAAGTAAAAAGTGAATGCAGATAAACTCCTCAACAGCATATATTACTGAAACTTGTAGACGAAGACCAACATCTGTGTGAAAGCAGAAGTTAAAACAACTTCAGATCAACTCATCGGTAATATTTCACAAATAAAAGTAAATTTAGTTTCTATTGAAACAATAGCAATATTATCAAAAATTAAGTAGCCATAAGGGATGTATTAGGAATTCATTGTACGCTAAGTAGATACATGAGCTTCTTGCAAAGGTAAATCCCCAGCGTCGTAAGGGATGTAAGGTTACCCAACCACTCTGGAAAAGCCTCCACTCCATCGAAATCGCGCATCTCCAAATATGTTAGAGAAGTGAAGTGTTGAATTTGTTGAGGCAGAGACTTGAGCTTGGGCCACCCCTTGAACCATAATGTTTGAAGTTGTGATGAACCAGTTCCAGTTCTAAGATGTAAATCAAGGAAGAAATCGAGCTCCTCCCATAACGCACCAAGTTCCAATGTCTTCAAACTGGTGGAAATCAGGGAAGGCAAATATTTTAATTTCCCACAATTAACAATCACCAACTCAGAGAGAGATGTGAAGTTGTCTAAACTTTGAAGACTCTCTAAATTAGGGGCATCTCTTATTTTCAACTCCACAAGGAAGAGGTTTAAAGTTGGAATAGATTGTAGAACCCAACATTTAATTATGCTCAACTTCACAATAGAGATGGGCTCACTACTCACTAAACTTTCTAATCTCTCACAATATTCAATGCTCAATTTACGGAGGGATGTGAAGATGTGAAGAGGTTTAAAGCTGGAATAGATTGTAGACCACTATATTTAATTATATTCAAATCCACAACAGAGACGGACCCACTACTCACCAAACTTTCTAATCTCTCACAATTTTCAATGCTCAATTTATGGAGGGATGTGAAGAGGTTTAAAACTGAAAAAGATTGTAGACCATTACAATCTCTTATACGCAGCAACTCCACAACAGAGACGAGTCCATTATTCACCAAACTTTCTAATCTCTTACAATTTCCAATGCTCAATTCACGGAGGGATGTGAAGTTGTGCAAATCTGAAATAGATTGTAGACTAGGGCACTTGTTTACAACCAAGTTTCCGATAGATGCACAACAACCAAAGACATTGGGGGCAATACATGTTAACTTCTCACAATCCATTATCTCCATACCTTCTATCTTCAACAACATCCCTTCTGGCACACATGTAAGCTCCTCATTACCTTCTATCATCAAATTCTTCATAGATGGAAAATGACTGGGAACCTTTCTCAATTTGGGACAATTCTCAATATCCAACTTCTCCAGGCAAGGAAACACCATGACTTGTTTTGGTGCTTCCATCCATTCAATTAGCTCCTTGCAATTACGAATGCATAATTCTTTTAGTGATGGAAATACGTCATTTCCATAAATCTCTTCTCCAACACATTTTAGATTATCCAGTGACAAAATCGGCTACATTTTTCTTTTGAGTAACACTATTGAAATTTTATACAAAATCCAATCATGAAAAAGGTTTTTAACCCTTAATTTTATATTTGTTAGGTAAATTAAAATTAATTTCTAGAAGCAAGGTTTTTAGCGAATCACCACACCAATAAGCAATATTTTCGTGAATTTGAGGTTTGGCAATTTACATATATCAATATTGAGGTTAATTAAGGTTTGGAGACATCCCTGGCAGGGCCGCGGTGATCATTTCCATGGTGATCAATTAAGGCCTTTCCCGTGGGCCACTAGTGCAAATGTCTTGTGGAACATCTTTGTTGATTTCTATTTAATAAAGTGATTGTGAAGAAAGAGATTGTGGAGAATGGGCATGACATGATGCATGAAACACAAAGAAAAAATTGACAATCTTCTTTCTCTTCGGACCTTGTTATTCCTTCTCATGAAAATTCATCAATGCAATTCAAAATAACCCATTCATGATATGATCCCTAAATTCCCAGAAATAATCCAATAATCTATAAAAATATAAATAAATAAAAATGCCTGATGTAAGCAATGCTTGTATAAAAAATATATATATGTATGTATAATATATAGTACGTGTACCTGTGCCATCAATGGTAAACCTTCACACTTTTTAGCAATCTCCCGTCCAATTCTCTCTAAACTACCATCTGAGCAAGCTGCATGTTTCAATATGGACCAACATTCATCTGTTGATAGAAGGTCCAATTTAGGCCGCGGAAGTGTTTCTGTGAGTGGTGCAACTATGCCACTGCGGGTAGTGACAATAATTTTGCTTCCTGGAGCAGAATTCAACTTTGACAAACAGCTCATCAACCTTTCCCATTTCTCAGACTCTTCATTCCAAACATCATCAAGTACCAGCAAGTATATTTTCTCTCTCAACTCTTCTTCAATGTATTTAAGCATTGCATCTTGATTTTCTCTTACAGTGGCTTTTGATGGGTTAAGAGATTCTAACATGCAGATCAAAATCACATTGATGTTAAAAGGATCAGACACACACACCCATATCCTTTTTTCAAAATACCCTGTTACTGAATTATCATTGTACACTGACTTGGCCAAAGTTGTCTTTCCCAGTCCTGGCATTCCCGCGATTGCCATAACCGACAGATTTTCTTGATTTATGTCGGAGCTGGTCAATGTTGTAACTATATCTGACACAGCGTTCTTCCTTCCAATGATGATTTCATCTTTACCAATGAACAATCCTAGACATGTATTTATAAAAAAACCCAAGCACTATTTAAACATAGAAACACACTCAAAATCAACCCAAAAGTCAACTTTTTGGGTGTGTTTATAAATGGGTTTTGAGTGTGTGTAATGATGGGTTTTGAGTGTGTTTATAAAGTGTTTTGGGTGTTGGGTTTTTTTATAATTTCAACCTCCATTTATAATGAGTTGCCCTATTCTGATGGAATCTCATTACAATATAGATGAAGCTAACGCTGCAGCAAAGTAGGCAATATCAAACCTGTTCATGAAAAGAAAAACAAATTACATCCATAAATATCAATGAAGGAAAAAAATATATCCCTTGCCTCCCATCCTTTTCCCCCTCACAGCCTCCTAAGAAGATCAACTTTTAGTATTATGCATGTGCCTATAAATGTTAGTGCATTGGTAAAGTCCATCGGTAAAGTCCATCTTTACTTCATCACTCAACATAAAATTCTCTGATGCTGGCCTTCCTTTCATAAACTGACATGGTGGTCTTTCCATCGGGATACGTCTGCACAAATCCAACACATTGCCACACCCAAATAAGAAGTCATAATAAACTCACTACATTTTCTGAAAATGGAATCTAATATTAGGCACATATGATATGAATGAATTAAAAATGGTGAAACTGGATAATAAAATTACAAAGCATGCCACACAAAAAAAGTACAACACAGAAAGAAAAAATATATATGTGTGCTCTTTTGCTAACATATGTTTTTTTTTTTTTCTAATTAAAAATAGAGGAGGGAAGGGAGGAGGATAGAGTGGAAAAAGCTGAGCAAGAGAGAAATAAACAGCATGTGATAATCTAAAAACTAAAAACTATTTCAACTTTTTAAATTATCTTTCTCATCTATTATCTTTCGCTTGGCTTTCTCATCTCCTTCTCCTCTCTTGGCTCTATATCTCTAATTACAAAAACAGAAACGAGCATTGACATAACCTATAGAACTCAATTTAAAAAAAGAAAAAAGAAATATACCATATAAATAAGAATTCTGAGCAAACCAAGTGCCTCAGCAAGGTGACAGTCAGTCCACTGGACAAGAAAGAGAAAAAAGTTTGCCGCTGGACAGTAGGATAGTCTCATCTGGAGACGTGCTCCATCTTTCTCCCTTGGATAATCTAAAGCCCTAAACAAAACAATGGCCCAGCAAAGCATTTGATTAACAAGCATTCAACCATTATTATGTCACCAAAGTGACATAATTGCACAAAATAAATAAAATCTATAGCATTTATACATGGTACAAATCAAGTTATTGACATTTTGAGTTTTTAGTAGAAATCTAATGGATTAGGGAAGGCCCAATTGCCCAAAATATTGGGTGGCCACCATACACTGTCAAAGCAAATATAATAACCAAAATAAACGTGTATGCTACTAGAGTTTAATTACGAGATGGGACCTCTGCAAATTGCAAGGGCTCTTCTATTTTCTTTTTCTTTTTTTCGTTTAATGCCAATAACTGTGATTTTCATAGCACCAGCTCAAGCACAATTTTTATTTGTTGATCTTTCCAACAATAAACCCATTGAGCCAACTCCAACAATAAAGCCTTCTGGGTCTAAGAAATATCATTTTTCTTAACTCAAACCTAAAATGGTTGGATATATCATATAATCAATGAAATGAAAGTTAAAACTGGACATGGTCTACTTCTAAAAAATTGGATGCTAGATAGTTTTACTTACTTTCCATGATATTTTGAAATGCTTCCTGTAAAAAAGAGTTCAAAATTAAACTAGTTAGATACATATAGGGAAGAAGTGTTAAAATACTCATATGATAAATGAAAAATAAAAGTGCATCTATGCAGCGCTTATGGTCAAGACTCTTTACAGTGACTGCTAATTTATTCCGCTAGTATCTCACATAGAAGAAAAATCTATTTCTCACTACTTTCCCTTAAAATTCAGCATTCTTTTACATCTGTGCAACACCAGTACAAAAGATATATGTAGATATACAAAATCTTGACATCCACTTGTAAACCAGATAGTATCAGTATCATCTTTCTGAAGAACATTAAATTTAGCAACTACAAGGGTTAACACTTTTGGAACCACGAAATATATACCTCATCTTTTGTGAGTCGAGGATTATAAAGCATCTCCTTCCCAACGGTGCTAACCTGCATCTCAAGCAAATATGTGGCATAAGAAGCTGCCTCGGTATACAGGGTACAAAAGAAATAGACAATAGAGAGTTCCATACACTGAATCCCTTGTAATCATGAGAAGGATAGATCAACGTATTCTTTGGCAATGTGAAAATCTGGATTGTAAGTACAAAAGAATAAGTGGCCTTTTAACATAAAGTCATGTTTGAACTCATTTCTTTCCTATGATATCAGAGGTATGCTAGCTCAGCATGTTCTTACCTGTGAATGAACTGACTTGTACAGTTGATGTGAACTGCCACCCTGCAAACAGATTAGAGAAATCAAACACGGGAACTTGATAAATCCCCTTAACAGTCATGTTTTAAGAACAAGCCAACTCTTCTAATGGCAAACTGTTGCTAGTTTTTCAATTTTTGCTTTCCTTGTCTTTTGATTGAAAGCAGCAGAATTTGTCACAAAAAGGTAGATTATAAAGAGTTTCAAAAGTTGAAGGTACTATACCTGAAAATCAGTTCTCCCACAACCCCGTATGAGTAAAGCATCTCCAGTGAAAGCCATCCTTGGTTAGGGCTGATTAGGCCCTTCTCCTGTAACATAGGTAACACAACCTAATGTATGCCCAGCAGTAGCTCGAACCTGCAACACAAATGCACACATGAGATGCATATATACAAAGGCACATACATGCACATACATACACACACACCCGACACAGAGAACCACAACACTAACTAGTCCAAAACCAGTCAGATACATACATAACTTCTTTTAGTAGGTTGTTTCTTTAGGCCAATTTGTCACAACATATGCACACATGAAACATACACACACAAGCACACCCTTTTCTGTATACACACAAAACTACCTAGATCAAAATCAGTACGGACCAGACAAATTTTGTTACATTAAATTATTTCTTTTGGTCACTTCTATATATATTTCACAGGAAGAGGAACTCGGTAGACCACAGTCTATACCAGTTAAGTTTTGTATTCATTCTACTTTATCGGCCCAAAAGCAATTAATTCAATAAAAGCCGACACTTTAGTATTCAAAACCTCATTCTGAGCTTTAAATCAGGTCATGCTTTAGATCGAAAGGGCACTTAATTAATTAATTATGACGATTAACATAATTAAAAAGATTAGCTACTACTGTGACTAGTCTGCCAATAATTAATTTGCTGCCAACATTTACACTCAAAAGCATAAATAGAAGCATACGAAACTCAGAACTCAAATAGTGAGAAACAAATACACTCAAAAGAGTAAAAGCATAAATTGAAGAGGAAGATGTTTTGTCTTACCTGTAGTTATCAAGATTCAGTACAGGCAGAGATAAGAGACTCCACCAAAGGCAGCTGCGTGAGCTCCAAAGGGAATGCAAAATTTGGACTTCAACTGACCACCAAATGAGTTGTTGAAGGTTATTGCGGTGCCCCTACTCAGTCTCTGAAAGAAGGCACCCATTTTCAGTAAACAATGTCAAAAACCCACAACCCTTAATAAACTGAAAAATAAGCTTCAAATTGCAACATGCAACATCTATGAAAAATAATAGAACTCAGATGAAGAATAATCAAACCCTAAACTTAAAAATTCTATGTATAACAAATTACCCAAATCAAAAAATGCCGTGTATAGATCTGCCAAACTATGACTTTAACTTTACTAAAATTTCGAAAATAGAAAGTAATTCACAACACAGAGAACATGAGCAATCTCAGAGCCCTAAAACAGATAGAGCAATTAAAACACAAAAGCAAGCAGGTGCCGGTAAAGGATCGGAGTTACGAACCCTAGCTTAAGAAGAAGCGTCGAGAGGAGTGAAGGAGACGACCGAAGAGCACAGATCTGAAAACGAAGAGGAGGCAGACAGAGTGACTGTCTGTGACTGGATGAGAGTGCCGGTGACTGGGTATAGTGAGAGAGGGTATAGGGTGAATGGGGTATCACGAGAGAGAAGAGGGAAATTTTTTGACGGAAGGCGGAATCTGAAATTTTCACAATGGACCGAAATTTTTTTGGGGAAAAAACACTGTAGCGGTCAACTATAGGCTTTTGGCATCGGAGCTTAAATTTATTTTTTGCCCAACAATTTTACGCACTGGTATATTTCAATCATCGATGCTAAATATAATTAGGGCTGGCAATGGGTCGGGTCGTGTCGGGTTCGTGTCGTGTCGGGATATTAAACGTGTTAAGAATGCTCAACCCGAATCCAACCCATTAAATAAACATGTTGTATCGGGTTCGCGTTGTCTTTTATCATGCGGGTTTTGAGTCGTGTAACAGGTTGATAAATAACAACATGCATGTTACAAAAGTCACAACTGAAAAAATTTAAAT